TATAACGTTTTTGGTCTATTTTCTCTTGTATCTTCTATAAGTATATAATTCCTCTATTAAATACTTGATTTTTTTGTTGAATGCATTACTCAGACCACTTGACACTACATAAAATTCCATTACATCATTACCTCTAAGAAGTTAGATGCATCTTCTATTTATTTTATAAGAGTCAAATATAACTATGTTATTTGATCTAATTAATATGGTATACTAGTAGAGATAAAACAACTGAATGGACTACATATAAGAAACCATGTATAAGAAACCATATTGGCAAAAGTTGCACGACAAAGTTTACTTGTGAGGCCTTTGTTGTAGATAATGGATATCTAATCGGTCAGATTTGTAATTGTGACTCTAATGCAATATATATGTCAGATGCCAAAAAGAAAAGTTTACATCCCAAAATAATTTTTATTTCAATTGATTTTTACATTCTTCTGCATTAACAAACTCAACAAACATGAATTTGTTAGAGTATACTAGTGTCTATTGGGGCTTATTTTGTTGAATTTATTCTACGTCACTTTTGTAGTGAAAATTTTCTTTTTGCTTTTCGTTCTTTATATCATTTTATTTGTGTTTATGTTTATGTTTTAACTATCACTGATAATTTAATATACAAACCATTTTTTATTGCAATTTTATAGAACTCATTTTTCTAGTTTTATGTTTTATAAAATTGATGGTGATTTGGACTAAAATTTTTAGACAATATACATGTTTGATTCCTTGGAAGTTGGAAGTAAAAGAAAACATGTGATGTCTAAAGAAAAGATGGTTACATCCTAGCAAGGTCAGGGTATGGGTTTGATTACTTATAGAGTCGAATGAGGTGAATTGATGCCAGAGTTCTGGTTAAGCTACGTGGGGAATCATTACAACTCTTTTAGAGGAGAACTAGTTGGAGGAACATAAATGCAACATTTTAGCCAAAAGAGTCCTTAGCTCACTAGTATAATAATGCAGCTTTTGTAAACAATTGATAAAATGAAATAATGCTTTCCTAAAAAAAAATGTATTATAGGACGATATTACTAGGCCAGTACATAACTAATAGTTTGAGGTCATAGGATG